CATGTTTTACAATACAGATGTGAATGGTGATTGTATTCGTCACAGACCTTACATCCATGCTTCCAACCTCTAAAGATGTGCCACTTTTCGAAGCAATTTTGTTTATCTTTACGTATGAGTATGCTATTCTGACCTTTCATTGTTATATATTGACAGAAAAAATAATCTATACGTAGCTAAAAAAATATTAATATAAAAATATATCTCTCAATTGTGATCTCAAGAATAGCATTAGGAAAACGGTGGACAATTTAAGTCACACATTCATGAGGGCCTAGTGAAAATTCTCTAAACAAGTGCTCACTATCCAACCTTCCTTCTGGTATTTATTTCTGAATTTCAGCTAACATTGCATCAATTTCAGCTAAAATTGAATCCATTTCTATTGTTTGAGATGATGAAGAAGCCTGTATTTGAGGTTTTGAACTGTTGCTTGTCTTTGGTTCGAAGTCAGACTCTTCTGATTCTGTATCACCTATAGCGTAATTATCACCTGCATCAAGGTGGTCTGATTCTTGCCTCATTGCGATTCTCGAAAGCAGTTTAAGATGTTGGGGTGTTGGTTTCTTATCACCATGGATTCTGGAAGCATGTTTACTTTCATAATCTCTTAATTTTTTAGGTATGGTTCTATAAGGTTCTTGTTTTAAGAACTCGTTAAATGGCCAAGCATTACGTGTTTCTTTTTCAGTAAAGACAGGGTCAGATAATTTTTTAGCCTTAATTGCATCTTGAATCCAAGTAAGCAATTCTCTGGCGCGTTCTGGATTCTTCTCTATGGAAAGAAATAGTCGAGGCTTGGGATTTTTTTTCTTCTCTCCTCTACTTTTTAAATAACCTGTGCAATACCAAGAATAGCTATCTTTGTACTATACTGGAATGTTTGAATAATCTAGTTCATAGTGATTAATTCGAAGAGATCTTACTTCTGCAGGTCTCATACTCAACATTACAATTATGTTCACGAGATCTTCTCTAGTAGGAATTTTGGAAACATCTATGTTCTGAATCCTTTTACTCACATTTGCTAAGGAGAAATGTGTGGGAATTCTATCCGAATTAGCCATTTGTTTCATAGTTTGCTTTTTCTGAATTTTATTTGATTCTTGAATAAGTTTTGGATCTTTGGCATAGGTATTAATAATTTTAGGACTTACCCTAGCTTCTGCTAACTTCATACGGAATTGTGATTGGCATGAACTGCTAGCAACTATTTTATTTTCATAATCATTCTTTGGGTCTAAATCTAAATAATGAGCAAAAATATCCATAACATCACCAATTTTAATACAATATTTTGCCCTTTCTTCTATAGTGAGTTTTCTCTTTCTCTTATCCGATAAGAGAGCCTCTACCTGCTCTCCACTAAATGAGCATCTGTTACCAGTGCCTCTGGCAAGAGCGACTTTAATACACCTGCAGGCCATCTAATCGGAAAGTAGAGGATCAAGTTTGAAAGCATGTTCGCTTAATTGTTTTGGAGTAGAGTCGGTCATCAAATTATGCTTTTCTAGGAACTGCTCTAAGACCAATACAAAGTTATTAACTTTAGGTTTTCAGGTCTTTGGGGTAGCTGTTTTCATAGCCATGTCAATAGTAAGTGTCATCTAGTTATATATTAATCTAGTTATTTTTTAATTCGAAATTAATTATGCTTTTTCCTCCTATATCTAGAAAAAAGAGTATATGTACTTGCATAAGCAAGACTAGGATGTCGAGCTATATGATTATACTTCATGTATAGAATCAGATAAGTCAGATATATGATTCTTAAGCATAACAATTTTTGCATGTAATTCGGTCTGTTTTTTTTGATGATAATATTCTCTTTTTCGATATTTACTCACATGATTCGAGTATATACCATATATAGAATATGTTAATTTATCGTATTCTTTGCAAGAAATCTAAGTTGGCGAATTCTAATGAAGTTTACACCCTTCTAGATGATAGCAACCTCGATTGCAAACTTTGCCAGTTCTAAGAATATAAAGGCAATGATAGAGTTCCATATTTATTATAATAATAATTGTATAGAATAATTAATTTCATTTTAAAGTTTTTTGGATTAAATATAATACTTTTAGTTTATAACTATATACTACATATACAAATAACGCATATATACAAATCAATAAAATGAGTTTGTCTAGTGAAGCAAAAAAACGTCTTCGTGAATCATTACAGCAGCAGTGCTTAAATCAAAAGTCAGCTGAATATAATAAAGCAAAATGATTTTTTATAGGTTTAACAGATCTTAATTATAAACTCGGTCATAAAGAATATACATTTTATAAATATTGGCTTGCATCTAGATTCGAAGGGGCGACCCTAAAGGGTCATGGCCATACTGATAAAAATGATACTGCACTTTTAGATGCATATCGACCTGAGGAGATTCATTCTCAATATATAATTCAGATAGCAGGAAAAGGTTATACAACGATCGATCATCCTAGTGAAGTTTATAGAATACCTGATACTCATGAATGTATCGATAGGAACCAGCCCCTTTGCTTAATTATCGATATTGATGCAAGGCAAAAACCTGATCCTACTAATTCTAAACTTTTTTCTCTAGATGGTCAAAAAATTACTCGAGAAGATTTGTTATCTCGAATTTTAGTTGCTTGTGCAGATGCATTAAGCCTTATTCTAGAATATATGCTTTTCTTAAATTCTTTTGCTTTAGCAAGTTTATCAAATACTGAGAAATATAGTTGGTATATTATTTATCCTCGGGCCCAATTCGTAGATTATAGAGAACTCAAGGGTTTTACAGAAAAAGTTATAGAATTAGTTGAAGAACCTTATGCCAAATTCATTAATATTGGCCTTCCCAAATCACGTTTTAGTCTTCAACTTCTTGGATCAGCAAAAGAGGGACGTATAAAAAGACCTGCTATCTCTTCCGTAAATAAGGGATTTAAAAATTTAGATGATTACCTGGTTCAGCCTAAAGAAAATTATTTTGTAATCTGGCTACGAACCTTTTCAGATGAGAGGCTAGCAGAAGAGGAATACCAACCTATTGACGATAATAATGCCTTGGTTAAGTGAGCCAATTTAGTTATTGCAAATTACAGGTGGCTCTAGATTAGAAGAATCGAGAAGGGATTTATCAACTTTCAAGCACAATCCATTAAAGAATGCCCTATATATGATGTTAAATATGAAAAAGATCAACTCTATAGATTTATTCGACAAAATAGGTATTTTATACTTAAATGTTATTGCCAAAAACAATATAAGCCAGATCATAAAGGATTAAGCTTTGACAAGGTATTAGATAAAGTAGAATTGAAAGTAAAACCTAAATTAGGATTAGATAAATGAATAGCCAAAGCTGTGTCAAATCCTCATTTGCTTCTTGAATTATCTGAAGAAGTTATTAATATAAAGGAAATAGAAGATTTTCCAGAAGCTTATCCCAATTTCTTAAGCAAAGAACCTAGTACAACTTTGATTCGCTCTCCTATAATAATAGGAAAAACAAAAGGTCTAAGAAAATATCTCAATTATTTAGCTAAGAATAAAGCTAATATGCCTTGTGTCATTTGGATTTCTTACTGAAAAACTCTTAGTAATGAATCAATGGGTAAAATTAATAATCTTAAATTATCTGAACTCAGAATCTGTAATTATCAAGATGAACAGAGCTTGTCTATAGATAAGTGAGATATTATCATAGTTCAAGTTAAAAGTCTCTCTCATATAGAATTCTCAGCCCGTTCAATTGTAGCTATTTTAGATGAAGTCAATGCAATTCAACATCAAATGAATAGCAGTTCAAATGCGTAGGAATCTGAAAATGCAATGTGTAATGTGTTAAAATCAGCCCAACATGTTTTAGCTATGGATGCATTTGCAAATGAAAGTACACTAACACTTCTCAAGGCTTATCATAGTGAAAATATTCGAATAATTGATAATAAATTCCAACTGCTTATAGGTAAGACTGTTGAGTATCTTTATAACTCAAATAGTAGGGCTAAAGCTATGCAAATAGGGTTTGAGTATTTGAAGCATGGTAAACGCGTAGCATTTGTTGTAACAAGTTCTAATATGGCTCAAGCATTAGTAAAAGAAGCTTCTAAATTATCTTTCAAAGCTCGTGCCTATTATGGAGATATAGATAGAAAATAATGAAAAAAGACTTTTTAGATATTAATACTGCTTGGGGCGAACTCAATTGTGTGGCTTATACAAATACAGTAGAAGCAGATATTTCTTTTGAGAAATCTAATCACTTTGACATAGTTATAGGCATTACAAATATTGGAACTCCAGTTAATATAGAAGCATTTATCCAGATGATATTCCGAATTCATGATTGTGAAAAGCATATACTTTCACTTTATTATCAAAAAATTTCCAGTGAATTTTCTCGTTCACCAGGTCATGAAAATATTCGAGCAGAACTTGCAGTTGCCCGGCCTAATAATTTGCCTACAGCAATTAAGGGACATCATGAATAGGATATAAATAGCATTTCCTATAAACTTGATCAATCTCCCGCTATAACATCATTTGTTGAAGTTGAGCACCAGAAACATCTTTCAACCAGAAATTTTATCAAGATTTCATGTAGCCTTATTGCCAGTACTGGAGTAAGTCTTAAATTAATAAAAATGGATGAAAATAAAGAAATTATAGGGAATTGTAAAAATGTTCGTAATGAGATTAAGGTTGAAGCTTTAGTTATCAAGGATACAGATTTTGATGCAATCGCTACTTCTTAAAATCTTACTCTTGAGGAAGCTGAATTTCTTAAACTCAATTCAGAATGTTCAGTTGCAGATACTATAGTACTTAAGTGTTTTTATATGTAGAACCTTTATAGTGGAAATGGTATAAGCATCAAGGATTAGAATAAACTCTGCGATAAAGATTTTGTAGAACGTTTTAGTTTACTTGAACCTAGAAAACATTTCTTGCATCTATCTCATTTTTACAAGCAAGGTTATGATGAAGAGAGTGTAGTAGAAGAATTAAAGGCCAAAGATATCGTACAATGGGAAGATACCTGTTATAATGCTAAAGATAATTTTGAAGATTCAGTAGCAAAAGATTTATACAAAACATATTCAGCGAATCATTGGGAAGCTATACGAGGTCTTTTACAGTTGCTTGGTTTTACGGGTATAGATGATAAACGCATTCTCTCTAATAATCAGGTAAAAGTTACGTTTGAGGCATCTCATAAAAAATTTATAGAAATTCGAAGTCAAGCCTTATTGCTCTTTGGCTTTAGGTCTCATACAAAAGAAATACCAGATCTTAAATTAGCTATAAAGGCAATCAATGCAATTGTTGGTAATTGGTGTAGTTATACCATAAAAAGTAAGCGAAAATTAGTAGAATTTAAAGAACAATGGATTTGGAAATATTCATATCAAATTAATTGAAAGTCATATAATGGTCGTGGTTTTAATAATCAAGAAGAAGTAATAGCTAGAAAGTTAGATAATCCTGAATATTGCCCTATAGCTCCAGTCTTCCATCATATAAGCCGAAGGTAAGTAATGAGATTCAGAATCTTTTTAAATATGTTGAGCATAAAATTTCTGACTCGTCTAGTGGGATGATTGATGAAAAAGGTTTATCTTTAGAAATGCCAGCTCATAATCAATCTTCTGGTCTTTCCTAAGATAGATGCCATATTGATACTACTATTAGTGAAGCCAGGATAGTTGAGAAAAAAATACTCGAATCCTTAACTTCTCTATCTTTAAAATTTCTTATTAAAAATAAATCGGATATAGATACCCTTATCCTTCTTTTATAGCAAAAATTTCAAATGCCTGAAAAAGGGTTAGAACAATAGCGAACTAAGATTACCTTTGAATTGCGAAATAATCAAAATTACTGAAAAAAAGAGCGCAAGAGTATGAGTGAGGCTGACTTCTTAAAATATAAGTGAAATTTTGAGACTAAGATGGGTGTACCTACTATTCTGCATAAAAAAGAATTGAAAAATAAATCTTTGGCACTCATTGAATATACATAACTATTGTTTTAAGATAATATCATCTAGTTTTAGTAGTAATTTCTGAAGCAGAGAGATTGCTACATTTAACTAGTTATTCATCTCAGATAGGGGGTTTTTTGTTCTCTCTTACATAAGTATGAGAAAAAATTCAAATAAAAAATTAATGCTTTCAATATCTAGATCATATAAAGGGTTTTTATATCATGCGATTTTGGATGATAGGATTTAGATGACCAGACACTTATCAAAGCGGGTTTTTGGGTCATGAAGAGTAGTCATTACCCAGAGCTAGTATTAGCTGGAAGCTAGTTCATACCAAGACGCATAGTACTATTAAACAGATATCGAAAAAGTGATATGCAAAGTAAGAAAAATCAAACTTTTATGTATCAAAAAAGATGATATATAAAGGTAAGAAAAAAATTGAGCTTTTATATACCATTAGGTAGATATCAAAAAAGTAATACGCAAAGGTTAGCAAAAAAGTGATATGCAAAGGTTAGCAAAAAGTGATATGCAAAAGTTAGTGAAAAAGTGATATGCAAAAGAATACATAGAAGTATGACTTGATTTTTTTTAGTATCTTATACTAACTTCACTAATGTAAAGTGGCAATATCTAAAGACTATCAACTATGTGAGAAAGGCTTCCAAAACTGAAAAATATAGTAAACTTTTGGTAATACGCAAAGGCAGAATATTATAAGGAAAAAGATAAGAAAATTATACTTTACGTATCACTAAAAAAAAAGGATAAAATAGTAGAATTCAGATATAAAAAAAGTGATACACAAAGGCAGAATATTATAAGGAAAGAGATAAGATAAATTTTTGCTTTTACGTATCATCAAGTAAGAGTAACAATTAAGCACTATATGCCTTATTATCGAATGCTTTGGTGTCTGCTAAAAGTAAAATTATTATCGATATGACGTGAACTCAAATTCATCGTCACTCAAATGATGATGCAAGCATGAATTGTTCGTCACTTGAATGATAGAGCGAATACTAATATATCTCTGATGACACAAGTGCGAATCGTTCGTCACTCAAATGATGACGCAAGCGTGAATCATTTATTACTCGAATGATGGAGCGAAAACTAATATATCTCTAACGACGCAAGCGCAAATCATTCATCACTCGAATGATGACATGAACTCAAGTTCGTCATCACTCAAATGATGGAGCAAATACTAATATATCTCTAATGACGCAAGTGCAAATTGTTCGTCACTCGAATGGCTAACTAGATAACATTATAATACAACTGGATAACAGTCTTATAAGACTGTTATCCAGTCCAGGGAAGTAAAGAAGGGAGTAGTAGCAAGTTGGTTTTTAAGTTAGTTATGATGGGCTGTGGCATCCTTCCTATTAGCTATATGTAATTTATATACGTTATAAGTCATATTAGTATAGAACAAAAGTCATTATAGCAGATCGCACATAGGTATCCTCAGGATAACTGGGTGAGTTAAGGCTTAAAAAATTAGATATTAGATAATATATAGCTAATTAATACTGTTTTCAATTAAAAAACAAATCTAAATAAAGTCATGGCATGACTGCTAAATTTAAAAAAAAAAAAAATAAGATAGTTAGATCTAAAAAAAAAAAATAAACAAAGTCTTAACTAATTTTATAGAATATTTTTAAAATATTTTTATAAATAATTATAAAAATTTTAATATAAAATTATAATAGAATAGGAAAAAAAGAATAATATCTCTATAGCAAAAAAAAATATAAAGAAAAAAAATAAAGAAAAATAAAAAAAATATAAAATTAATTAAATATCTAAAGAATCAAAAAAAGAAAATATAAAATAAAATATTAAAAGTATGAACAAATAACTAAAATTAAATAAAAAAGAAAAGTAAGGCAATTAGGAAAAACCCTTAGGAATTTAAAGAAAAAGGCGAAGTCACTTCAAGATATACTATACTAAGTCTTAAATAAATAAAGAAAAGTACTCCAGACCAAACAAGTAGCTCATATAGACTTACTAGAGGGCAAACTAGAATAACAAAATGTGGAAAAAAGAAAAGACTAAGAGACTAATCAAAGAAGTAATTAAAAAATATAGTAAGGAAATAGCAATAGAAGGAAGCAATGCAGTATTAGGCTTAGAAGAGCATTTAGACAAAATAGTAGCTGAGTTGATGGGTATAGAACTAGAAATTATTAAAATAGCTAG